GGGCTTTCCAACGGAGCGCCTTGACCTTGCTTTGCATGACCATGATTGCAGTGCTCCTCCAGGAAATTGAAGCTCTTTTGATATACATTTTTACTTTATAGGCTACTTTTGCTGCTGTCATGAGCATAGTTGAAGGAGAGTAATACAAAGGAAGAAATTGATACTGCCTATGTCAATCTTATACAAATGCTGAAGTTGTATAAGATTGACGTAGGTATGAGTTGAAGGAACATTGGCTGGACTAAATCTGAATTTTTTGTCGCCATCATATTTTGTTTTAAAATGTTGCTTGGCAATATAAGCAGCTTAAGAGTCTAGATTAAATTTGATGATTCTGTGATCGCTAAGAGATGGTGTATCAGATACCTCCCAATTGCACATCTGAGAGACTAGTAAGGAGGAGACCAGCGTCTCATTTTTTTAACTGAATATAATTTTTGCTTGAATATTGTAAGCTTTTATTGGTGCTTACATATTTTCCTGTTGACTGTAAAAGTTGACAGAGATCTGTTCAAAACTGCTGCAACGATTTTAATGGAAGTTTAAGGGAATTTATTGCTTTTTATTTAATTAGATAATAGCATATCATTCTGTATTTAAAACTTGCATCGTATACAAACTTAAATTACTACAAGCTCAAGTTTTGAGATTATCTGACAAATTCATTAAAATTAGCACAAGTCATTCCATCTTTCAAAAATTCCTAATTGAATGCAAAATATCAACAAAACTATCACCTTTATAAACTTGAGGTCATATAAATTCACTTAAATACAAATCTAAATGGTTTCTCACTGTTCTGAAACTCTTTTATTGTACCATTTTGGTAAATTTAACTTTATTTTAATGTGTTGAGTATGTATATCAGTGTAAGTAATCCTGCAACTTTGACAATACTTCCTTGTTTCCTATCCTGTAGAAAGGAAGCCCCGAATTATTTTTTTTTTTTTTTTTTTCATGTAACAGTTAATTTAACTTAGTGGCAGAAAAGCAGGGCTAGACAAAACTAAAGCAAAGTTATTACTAGTGTATTGTGATGTCATGCTTATCAGTTATTGGTGATTAACTGGTGGCAATGGTTGGATATGGTCAGTGGCAAAATATCTGCGTACCAAAGAGTTTTTGATTATAATGTAACAATGAATTAAGGCTTAGTTCTTTCATGGAATTTGTCACTACATTCAAAAGTTGTCATTCATTTTTAAATTACAGTAAATCTCCAATTATTCGAGATAATATGGATCAGCGTGAATTTGGATAACACAGATTGACACAAAAGAAAATTCGGTACCTACGTACTATGATGACTACCTTGGCAACATTTGCCGATACAAATCTTCATTGCCGTTTTTTAGTTTATGTTTATAAATTCTTTTACAAATAAAAGTCCTTATTTTAGGAACTTTAAAAAAAAAAAAAAAACCCTGTTTTTTATCCTAGGCACAAAAACTTAACAACCCAATCCTAATATAATATGTTTTATATATAATAAACTGAATATATAAAGACGAGTTATAAAAATTAACTTGCTAAAACTAGTTAAAGTTAATGGCAGGAAGTGGCGTAATAGCTTCAAAATCTCGAAGCTTTCGTGTTTTTTCGCACCAATAAATTCCACTAATGGTATCCAAATGATTGCGGCTTGTCCCACATGTCGCTTAGCCTCCATTTTGGAACCCCCACATCCTTTCAACTCTGATTTGGTCTTGCGTAGAGGGGTCAACAAAATTGTATCAAGATTCACCTTAAAATGTTCACCACGGCAGCAATGAGATTCTTCTTTTGATTAGTCCAGGCCAACTAATCTGACCTTATTGTTGAGCCTGTGCCTCAATTATTATGTTGGATTCAGCATCATGTCATTGCCTTCTGGGCTGAACTCGGGCTAGAAATGTTTCTTCTTTGTCTCCTCTGAATTCCACTTAAGACCCCTTGTTGTTGTCAGATTACAACTGATTCTTCTTTCGACGCTAAAAGGCTGGTCGACAAGCATTTATTTGGACCCTCCAATTTAATATTTCGATTCCGCAAATCCTGCACACCACTTCCTGCTTATTATTCCAATCAATAACAGTCTTATCTGATAATCCAACTGAGGTGTGCAACCATTTAATGTATGACATGTTTATTGCTAAAAGTAAATAAATCTTAAAGCTTTTAAAAATTCAATACGACTGTTTCCGAACCATGTACCAGTTCGGACACCAAACTTTTGTTAACAATTTTTGACATTGCATCTCCAATAAATTTCTGAATTATAAAATTTCATATCATGGCTGTTTTTACAAATGTGTTCTTTGGGTAAAATTCCATCCTCTTTGAAAAATTCCATCATTTCTTCTTCATTTGAAGGAAGTTGGAAAATGTTGATATCTATTGGGAAAAAATAATTACAAAAAGTTTCATGTGTTTATCCTAAACCTAATAATCCGTGTAAATGTAGCAAAAAAAAGGTGTAGTAATAGCTAGTGCAGGATAATACTCTTTATTTTAATGCCCTCTATAACCTATGTTAGGATTAACCTGTATAACCTGCAAGGGTCGCCAGTTTGGGCGAGATATCTAAGTAGTCGTCATGGTACGTAAGTACCGAAAATTTTAATATTTTTGCCGTACATACCGTACGGAATTTATTAACATACGGGATTTATGCAGATACATAGCAGTAAAAATGTACGAGTGCTCAAATATACTGATATGCACGTAGTACTAAATATGATAGATACTGTTAACTTGAAAATATGGTACCTGTAGCACAAATGAGGTACTGTGTAGCATATCACACATTTCAAAAAGGTCAGTAGCAGCTGTTTCATTTGCTGTTCAGTATACAGCAGTGTCTTTCCAATTCTGTTCAAGCCATCTGTGTCACTGATCTTAGCTTGAACTATTCCCTTGTGTTCATCATCAAAACTTTTATTGTGCCTAGCCTTAAATTAACAATGGCCTCCCTAAATAGTTCAGTTTTTCATCACCTTGCATCCAGTCATCCAGATCTTCTTTCATTACTGTCTCTCTAATTTGTATCTGGTTTAGGATAGCCACTAATGCTTATCATCTGCTTCTTAAGTTTGTGTTGTTTGTGTATTTATTCTCATCTAGGCAAAATAATTTTCCAGCTTTTCAGAATGGTAGAGTGTTTCACGTTGTTCCACCATTCTCCTAGCCAGTAAATAACATTTTTCAGATTAACCTGTTTTAGGCTTTCAACAACTGTTTTGTTATTTTGTAGATCTTCTAATAATTGTTTCAAGAACCTGCATCAGTCGTTTCATTTTAGGTTTTCTGAAATGCCATGGTCCAACGCCTGAATAAGGGGATAACATTAGGGGCCCAAAAAAAAAAAAAAAAAAAAAAATAGTCCAAATCTCTCCACTAACCACCTGAAGTAGTGCACAAACTAAAAACTACCTGAATTTTCATCAAAGAATGCAAGAATCTAGGCTGCTGAGTGTATTTTAACAATAAGGGTTCTTATCTTTACAGTTTTAATTATTGTTAAAACCCAAATCTATGGATTGCTTAACTTTTGAGTGAAACTTTTTTAATGATTTCTTTTTATTTATTGCATTGGGCTCGGATTATGTGGAACCTCTGTTGATCAAAACTCGGATGATTGGGGTTCTGCTGTACTTCCCGTAAGTTATCAAACTCATATTAAGTACACATACTGTCTCTGGATGACAATACAATGTAGTGAAGCGATTTTATTCAGAATTTTGATTTAGATTTTTGTAAATTTTATGTTTAAATGATTTTTTTTTTTTTTTTTTTTTTTTTTTTTGTGTGTGTGTGATTGATGATATGATTTTTTGCATATATCTTCATTTAGGGAGCAAACTGATAACTTTTGATTGGAATTTTATTGTTTGCACCGTTGAATAGAGCAGAAAATATCTTTGTAATAAAATTCCTATGAAAATTATAATTTAACCATTTTACCATTTTTGCTGAGACAGACTTGCTGATTTGAAAAGTTTTGTCACTACCTTTGAAAGATTTTAATAATTCTAATAATATCAAAAGCCCTGTGGCCAAATAACCAAATAATTAGGTAAAATATGTATATGATGCATTAAGGTTCAAGGCGAACATAGTGATAACATATTTCCAATCGATGAGTCTGTCTCGTGGGAAATTGAGAAGTTGTTATTTATGAAATTTTAGTGAATTTTTTTTAAACTTGCTGCAATGTTTTGAAACTTTTGAAGCTTATAAAACAAACTCTTCACCCTTTTTTAAAACCGGAATGACAGGAGTGATTTTCTGAATTTTTAAAAAAAATGTTACTCCCTGAAACAAAAGGGTTAAAAATTGGTTCTTCTTAGCCTTTGCTTAGAAAGATACTTTCAAGATTATGATGCTATTATATCACATGATTCTTGTTGCCTCTGTACATATTTATTTCCTTTCACTGTTCATTTTATTAACTCTCAAAAAAAAGTTAAAGAATTCGTTAATATTTAAAATTATTTGCCATGAATCTGTCATATCATATACATTTTTATCAGTATTTCGCTTCAGAAGTTGATTTTATTAAATTCTTTTTGTGATATGTAATATTATTTCTCAGGATTTTAAAATTCTAATATCCAAAAATATATTCTTTGAAGATTTGGGAATTTCAAGCCTAAACAAATTCTGATCCTCTTTTAAACAAGATTGATAAAAAATGTTAATTAGACATTTTAAAATAATTTTTTTTAATTTACTTTATAAATTTTTTTTTTTTTTTTTTAAAAACTTGATCATGCTGTTTGTTGCTATGGTCAAACTGCTTTGATTTTTTAACTATAATTTATAACTTTAAAAAGTTATATTTCACTAGTAAAAGACATGCCGTTACCTTTTAAATGCTTTAAGCTTTGTTAATGTTTTTTATATCAATTTATTTTAGTAATGTATTATATGAAATAACTCATAAATACATTGTGTTCTTGAGTGTCTGTTGAGCCATTCCGATTATAATTTGTTAAAAAAATTAAATTTTGTATTTCTAGGGCAAGGTTAGTCAATCAACTGAAGAAAGTATTACAGATTCTGGTGTTATTGAATTAGCTGTTCAAAAATGTAAGCATAATATTTTTTGTTTCAAGAATCATAATTAAAAATATTTAAAGTAAATAAAGGAATAATTAAAAATAAAAATTACTCTATGCTTTCAATTGCAAGATACCTCTGAAGATAAATCGGAACATTCTGATTATCTGCATGCCTGCCTTGAACTCATAAACTTGTTGGCAACTAATTCTTCTCCAAGCTAATGTGTGAAAGTTAACAGCCACTTTTTTATGGGGTTATCACATCTAACAATGTGAGATGCTGGAAGAAACTGAAAAATAAGCTTATCCATTACCTATCACTGGAGGCTTTCAACCCCAAACATGCTTCGTTGAAAGCATATCCCATTTACCTATATGCTGAGCTGAAAATGTTTTGATTGAAGCACTGTCCCGTATACAATTTCTCCAAAGGACTGATTTTTACATATATCAATCAATTAAATATCCCCAAAATAAAAATTGTGCAAAATCTTTCTTTCAACGCACTGTTGATGGTAGCTTGTAGATGTAATACCCACTTTAATGGCAGCATACTAAGAATTCCATACAAAAGCAATCAATCAGTAAAATTAAAAAAGCAAGATCAGTGATAAAACATGTACCTTTTTCAAGAAATCCTTCTATTTACACAATTTTTCTCCCCATGTATGTATGCAGCAATCTAATTTCACTTGGGGGAAAAAATCGGAAAATTTGCACAGTGGGCATTTATACATCTACAGGCACAGCACATAAAACAAAATAGACATGTGTTGAGCACATACTTTGATAACTAAACTCAGTGGTGCAACAGCCCTAAGTGGGTCAAGGCCAGCAGTGCCTCAAAATCTGCTTTTTTTGACCATGGGCCCCTGGGTGCGTAAGCATATGCTCTGAACAAGTGGTCAGCTTGTCGCAGGACACGCAGTGTTGAGTCCCTAAGAGAACTTGGTACTCATTTTATCGACCCAAGGGATGAAAAGCTGAGTCAACAACCTTGCCCAGCCTGGGAATCGAACTCTGGACCTGCGGTGCTGTTGTGCGATGCGCTAGCCACTGCGCCATCGGGCCTCGCATACTTTGATACTACACTAAATACTTTTGAATGACATCATAGTTTACCATGTAACTATTTTGGTGACATATTGCTTTGCTTCATGAATACTTTTTTGCAACCTTTTGGTGGAGAAGCAGATAATCAGAAAGTACCAATAAATCTAATATGGAAAAAAAATTTCCTTTAAATTTGACTATTTTATTAATGATGAACAATAAAATATTGCTGTATTTTCTTTTTTCTTTTACATTTTAAGCAAGCTGTGATCGTGGAAAAATTCCATGCTAATAGACATTTTTGTTTTCTCTTTAACAGTACTGAATTATGAAAGCCAAAATGCTTTTACAGTATTTTATAATTTATGTACTTATTTATTATTCCTGTGATTGTGAACTGTCACCGTCAGAACGATTTAATTCCAGTTAAAGATAAGTGTGAGGTAACAATATGCTGATAACATCTATGCTTTTGTTTGATGTAACCTAGGTTGATTCTTAATGAACTACCTTCTGTTTTTATGAATAAGAATATAAATTAACTGTTATTACTGTATTTTTGTCTCACATTTTGGAAAAAAAAAAAAGTTAAAATTTAGGTTCTGCCTTCTACAGAACAACAAACAATAGATTGTTTTTAAAGGTATGGGATCTTACCATAAAATATAAATTTAATGGACATGATATAGTCAGCTGAATATGGCTAATGAAATAATAATAGGCTGGAACATTTACTTGTGGGAAGTGTATATTTACAGCATTCTGAACACAACTTCCAGTAAAATTGGAAGAACTAAAGAGGTAACAGAAATCGATGAAAGCATTTTTATGAAATGAAAGAATGAAAGGAGCTGAATACTGATTGTTTATTAAAAAAAGAGGAGTCTTCTTTCAGAATTCTGCAGGAACAATTGGCTCAACTTTGTGGGATCTCTGCCAACTTTCATGGCTTGGTGGTAGCCAAGTTTCGTGATCGATTAGATAATATATGTAAATACCATAGTTTATAATGTAACAGATATAAATAAAACAGAATATATAAAGATCTTTATAATATTATAAGTGAAAAAATAATGTCTTAGCAAATAGTAATTCATTATGACTAAGAAAGTGAATTTTTTTTTTTTTTTAATTTAATGTGTAATAAGAGTAATGCAAAATTCTCTAAAACATTTGGACAGTATATTTTATTTCGATCTTAATCTTGTGAGATTTTTCATTGATTAAAGATGATGGTGAGCATTTTGGAGTAAAAGTATAAAATTTAAGCATTTTCTTATGATTGTCTTATATGGGATACTTAAACATTGATTTTTTATGATTGGCTTATATATGATACTTTAAAAATCAAGAGTATGCTAGCTGATTATTAAAAACTTAGTTCTGTAGTGACTTTTTTAATATCTTTTAAAATAGTTTCAAAGATATTAAAAAAGTACATAACACTTTTAAGAAAAAAACATTAATTTTTAAAGTTGAAAGAATTAACATCTTTGCATTCATTTAAAATTTATATTCCTTTTAATAAATGGCATGCTCATCCTCATGACATAACCCAATGGCCTTTAATAGAGTTACAAGCATGACACACACATCCTCATAACAAGCCAATAGCCAACATATTCCCTTTAATAAAGTTACAAGCATATGACATATACATCTTCATAACATAACGCAATGGCCAGCATATTTAACAGAAATGCTTTATTTCAGCTTAACATTATGGTGATATTCATTTACTTCGTTGTATTAATGATAAATTATTGGTAATAAAGTTTAATATGCACAAATATAAATATTAAAAAAATATTACTACTTTGTTTGACGATGGATAAGCCTAACTTTGATTGGCACTGTGCAAAAATAGTTATGAAGAAGTGTCAGTTAAAAGTGTATGCATCTAAGAGATACATGAGAGTGTATATATAATGTCGGATTGCTCTTTTCACAGCTTTTATCTCTCTCTTCATGTAATGTATATTGCCTGGCCATTGTCTTATATTAATTTTAACATACTTTAGTTTGGAAATTATTACTACTTTTATAAAATATTTTATAAAATATTATAAAATATTACTACTTTGTTTGACGATGGATAAGCCTAACTTTGATTGGCACTGTGCAAAAATAGTTATGAAGAAGTGTCAGTTAAAAGTGTATGCATCTAAGAGATACATGAGAGTGTATATATAATGTCGGATTGCTCTTTTCACAGCTTTTATCTCTCTCTTCATGTAATGTATATTGCCTGGCCATTGTCTTATATTAATTTTAATATACTTTAGAAAAAATTTATAAAGTAAAAACATTAAGTCTCTTTGGTATAAATCAGCATTTGTACTATTTTGTAGATGAATTGGTAAAAGTGTACATAATCATGGGCACACAATTTGTGGTTGGGCATAGTTTTTCTCATTTGTGTTATTTCTACGTATTTCATTATAAGTTTGCAAGTGCATTCATTACAAAACGTGTGCATACAAAAATATATATGTAAGATAAGAAAAAAAAATCTGAATCCAGATACTAGCTTTAATTTGTAATAGTCTCTTAATTATTCCTTTCTGTCCTAAAAATAGTAATTGCTTATAATAAACCACTTTAAACTGCGCCATTTCAAAGTTAATATACATCATATGACTCCTATATAAAGCTTGGCTTCAGCCAGTAAAGCATTTCGAAGCTTAGATATTATCCAATCCAGATAAAGCAAACTAAAACTAACGTTGTAAAGCAAAACCCAAATTATCTTGAAACCAGCTTCCATCTGAGAACATAGCACATTTCACTTTTTACTTCTCAGTGCAGCTATACTGCTGCTTCTGTTCTTACTGCAACAACAAAAATATGCACTTACTGCATTACTTTATTTGTGTTCTCTTATGAAAATGTTTGTCAGCACAATTAAAAGGTATGTTTAAATGGCATGACTGTGATTTTTATGCATCTGCAACACAATCAACTTTACTGAAGTATTTCAGTGGCCATGTGTAATATACTTTTTGCATTTTATTACTTTTATCATGTGATGCATATTGTTGTTTATTTTTATAGCTATGCTCAATCCTAATCTGACAGGAGATTTTTCAAAGGTGAGTTTTCTTTTATATGTGTATGTGTGTGTTTGTATTCACTTTGGTTTCATTTAATTTTGTTATATTAAAAGAAGACTTATTAAAAAAAATAAAGCAATTTTTACTATCAGTAAGAGTCTAAATAAATTTTTAGAATTTATTGTTCATCTAAAGAGCTATTTACAATTATTTTAAAAACTTTATTAGAAAATGAATAATAAATTATTTTACAAGTTGAGAAATAGTAAAAAAAAATTATTTTCAAATAAATATCATCAGATTTTCAAAGGAAGTTTTGATAGTCCACTGCTTTTCTGGTTAGTTTAGAATTTTCATGATAGTTAAGCAATTTAATAATTTAAAGCTGTGCAAAAAATAATATTCATAGGATTTGGACACACAGTATTAATTAGTACACTTTTATATATAATTGTTTGTCTGCATCATGATAGACACCCTGAAGTAAAATGGTACGAACTTGCACATAGATTCAGAAAACTTAAATTTGACATGCAGAAATTGTACATGCAGAATATATGTAATAAATTTACTTTTTTTAAAAAAAAGAAGCTATATTTATTTTTTGCTGTACCCTGAAAATTGCTTAAGTATTTGCATCATTTAAAATTCATACATTTAACAAAAATAAAGATCCTCATGAAAAATATACTTATTAATCAGGATATATATTAAGAATAGCTTTGTAATATACGCTCGTGTCCATAAATAAAGGATAATGCCGACTCCGGCACATAAAGTTTCAGAAACAAAACACAAGTCACTTATTCATAAAGCCCATATATTAAACAAAAGATAAAGAATAACAAAGATGATGTATGTATGATGCCATTAAAAAAGCTACGATTTTCGCTCCCGGGAGTAATTACAAAAAATATCTCCCATACAAAAACTTAACATTACGTGGTTGGTATGATGGTTAATACATAGTATGTCTCCCAGACGATGAAATGCAGTCTGTACAACACCTAGGCATGCTGAGTATCAAATTATGGAGCTGATTTTGGAGAATATTACTCCACTTAGCAAGCAATGCTCTTTGAAGTTCCGGTACGCATGTAGTAGGTGCTTGACAGACTGCAATTCGTCGGCCAAGCATGGCCCCCACACACTCTATCGAATTCCAGTCAGGTGAGAATACTGGTCATTCCCTACGGGTGATATCCTCAAATTGAAGGCATTTCTTTACAACGTTGGTGCGGTGAGGTCATCCATAAACACTAATTATGCGTCCAAGGCACCACTAACCAAATGTACATGCTGTTCCAGACTCGTGTCCCGAATAAATTTGTCCGTCAAGGTTCCTGTCTGAACATACAGATATGTTCTGAAGCCCAGTATAATTTCAACCCAATCGAGCAATCCAGCACCACTGTAATGGTGTCGTTCAGTGATGTTGTTTTAGTGATAACGGGTAGTTGGAGTTCTCCATATGAATGCCCAACGTGAATCAGACTGCAAGCTAAACCTGGACTCATCGGAAAACATCACAAAAGCCTACTGAGACGATGTCCATATTGCATGTTCTCTGCTCCACGCTAACTGCTAAAGACAGTGAGTTGGCGTGAGCGGAACATATCTGAGAGGTCTGCGAGGATATAGGCCAGTCTGTCCAGAACGTCTTTGCACGTCTGTCCACGTAAGAAATCTTCCACATGTGTCCTCTGTGTCACATGTGTTCCACATGTGTCATAGCTATTCGGCTGTGGCACTGAGCGACTTACAGAACACTTGTGAACAATTTTGCTTTTTTGCTATCATTTTTATACACTTCTCTTATATTCTCGTCATTGTGACGAACTATCAGCGTCATCTGATGGCTTCCTGCAGTTTGCATATCATTCATGAAGATGTGAGCGATCATTCTAAATGCGAAATTTTTACTTCAGAGTTCGATTTCCGTGTGATTCTGAATTATCCTTAATTTATGGACATGAGTGTATATATGTAGTGTAACGTATTTTGCAGTAATTTACAAAACAGACAATCTTCTTAGTAGAACATAAATTTTATTTCTCGTTCTCGGTGATAGACAAATTTTATACAATTCTTAAGTGGCAAAATTTTAATACTACTCCTAGCTGTAAAATCTTCAGAATCTCATCTTTTTTAAAACAATATTTCTCGTTGCTGAGTAACGGTTTGATACAAATATGGCGTTGCCACTTCAACAATAATTATATTTATTTATTAAATAACAAGATATTACAAATCTCCAGATAAACTTAATATTTTTATAAATTAAAGTTTACGTTTTTTTTTTTTTTTTTTTTCAAAACAACAATATCAGCACAATACAGAATTGAAATACAAGATATAACATAATAAGATACACTGAGGAAGAGAGGAAGGAACAAAATATTTTTTTTATCTATATAGAGAAACAAATTATTTAATCAGGCCAGGGAGTACGACTTAATGCGTCTACATTTTTATGGTTTTTACCACTTCGATGAACGATCGTGTAATTGTAGGGTTGTAGTACTAGTGCCCATCTCATAAGTCGTGGATTTAGACTCACATTATTTTTGAGCCAAACTAAGGGATTATGATCGGTCATGATGAGGAATTTAGTATGCCCGTCTAAATAACATTGAAGTTTCTTTACAGCAAATATTATGGCGGCGCATTCCTTTTCTGTGGTAGAGTACTTTTTTTCAGTTTCTGTAAACTTCTTACTGAGGTATAATACTGGATGTTCATTGTCTCGTTCATCTTTTTGAGCTAAAATGACACCCATACCAGAGTTTGACGCATCAGTTTGCAAAATAAACTCCTTATTGAAATCAGGTGCATGTAGTATAGGCCTTTGAGACAGTTTCTCCTTTAGCTCTTCAAATGCTTTTGTGCACTCTTCTGTCCAATTTATTTTCCCTTTCTTTAAGTTTCCTTTCAAAGTTTCTGTTAAAGGTGCTGCGATAGATGAGAACATGGGAATGTAATGATTATAATATCCCGCTAATCCTAAAAATGCTCTGACTTGACTTTTTGTGGATGGCACTGGAAAATCAAGAATAGCTTTTACTTTCACTTCACTTGGCATTCTTATACCACGACCTACAATATGTCCTAGATATTTTATCTTGAGCAAATTTACATTTTATTGGTTTAATAGTTAAACCAGCGTCCTTTATTTTGGACAAAACGGCTTTCAGGTGACTTAGATGTTCTTCCCAGGTGTTTGAAAAGATTGCCACGTCATCTAAATATGGAACAGCAAAGTTTTCACAACCGTGAAGGATTTCGGCCATCATTTTACTAAATGAAAATGGTGCATTTTTAAGTCCGAAAGGCATCCGTAGAGGTCTAAATGTGCCAAAACTTGTAACAAAAGTGGCTAATCTTTGAGCATTAGGTATTTGCCAGTATCCCTTTGTTAAATCCAAAAGAGTTATATATTTTGCGCCTGCTACCGTTTCTACTCGTTGTTCGATGTTAGGCAAGGGGAAGAATTGTGTTTTAGTCAATTTATTCAATTTTCTATAGTCGATACAAGGTCTTGGATCCCTCCCTGCTACTTCTACTAAAATCATAGGAGAAGTGTAATCTGAATCTCCTATTTCAATTATTTTATGCTGAAGCATTTTATCGATTTCTGTTTTTAATATATCCGTTTGTCTAGGAGACATTCTGTATGGTTTACAGTGGATTGGGGTGTTTTCTGTCAATTGAATATCATGCGTTATTAAATGAGTTTTTTCCAGGTTTATTAGAAAAGATTTTTGAAAACTTCAGCAGCATATCATGCAATTCTTGAATCTGTTGTTCATTTAGCTTATCACTTAAGGAGGTGTTTTCTTTGATGTCCTCAAAATCGAACAATGTTGGTTCAGAGTCAATTGTTGGGAAATTTTCCTCCATATCATCAATTTCAGACTGATCTTCTGTAATCATAAGGTTAACCGATTCTGCTCGTCTATGATAGGGTTTTAGCATGTTAACATGGTAGACTTGGTTAAAGTCATTTTTTTCTTCGAAACTCACAACATAATTAGTTTCGGATAATTTCTTCTCAACCTTCCCAGGACCTTTCCATTCAACTGCTAGTCTGTTTGGTTTATTCGTTGATACAACTAATACTAAATCCCCTTCAGAGAATTCTCTTTTTATAGCTTTACGATCGTACCACACCTTTCTTTTGGTTTGCATTTCCAGCATTTTATCTGTAGCCAGCTCTTTGCATCTTTTTAACCGATTTATCAATTGAAAAACGTATTCAACAACATTATTTCCTTCGTCTTCAGGATTCATCCATTGTTCATATAATAATGTTACAGGTGTTCTAAGATTTCGACCATATACTAATTCTGCAGGTGTAAATCCCGTACTCTCGTGCGTTATTGTTCTTAAAGCAAATAGAGCTGCGGGAACTTGCTTCTCCCACTCAGGGGCTGCTTCGATACATAAAACTTTTAAAATTCATTTGATTGTTTGGTGAAATCTTTCAACAGGGTTGCTCTGCGGATGGTGTGCTGAGCTTTTAGTTACTTTTATTCCAAATTTTTCTACAAATTCTATGGCTAGATTGCTCATAAAGGAGGTACCTTGATCAGTTTGTATTTCTTTCGGGAAACCCATTCTACTAAATATTTGTAACATTGCTTCAATTACTGACGTTGTGCCAATATTAGGAACAGGTACAGCATCCGGATATTTTGAAGCTAAACAAATAGCTGTAATTAAATATCTATTGCCAAAGGACCGCATGCGTCAAAGTTAATTTTTTAAAATACTTCTGCAATAATTGGTACTAAAGTCAAAGGTGCTTTGGCTTTATCATTAGATTTTCCCACTCTTTGACATGGATCGCAAGTTTTAACATACTCTTCTATTTCTTTATAGCAATTAGGCCAGTAAAAGTATCTTGTTAATCTATCTTTTTGACGATGCTTAAATATCCAGATGTGCTATCATGACATAATGACTTTATTTGATCCCTATATTTTTCAGGAATAACAATTAATTCCCTTTCATTTCCATTTTTATCTATTTTCCTTTTCACCAACAATCCATTTTCTTTTACTTTGAAATCATTTGTCTTGCTGGAATTTTCATTTTTAGCTTCGTTAAGCAATGACGCTAGATCTCTGCTTTGATGCTGAGATTCAATTAATTCCTTTGAATTAACATTAATCACTTTCTTAATTTCCTTGTCTTCCTCATCAGCTTGCAGTAAAATATCTTCGTCAGTGTCAATAAACATCAGTTCTTCTAGCTTCTCCATTTCGGTTTCTCTATTTCGATCTTCTTCATGAGATCTTTTTACTTGAGATCGTGTCAAAACCGCATTTATTTTTTCTAAATTTAAGAATGATTTATTTTTGAACAATTGGGCAGTTTTGTTACCCAATACATATCTGTCCTGGATCATTTGTAACAACAGCTGCCTTTGTCTTTATATGACCAAGTTCGCAATTAATTTCAACTTCCGCTAACGGTAGACACACTAAATGGTCATTTAAAAGATATTGTACCCAGACATGTTCTCCAGTCATTTTTGCGTTATCTATGTATTTTCCGAGAAATAACATCAACAGTGGCTCCTGTGTCTCGAAGAATAGGCATTTCATGCCCATTAACTAAACCGTTAATTGTATATGTCTCTAACAAATCATCATTCGAAGATACGCAATTTATCTTTTCATTTGGTTTTAAGCGAGGACACTGAGGCTTAAAATGTTCGTATGATCCACACTCGAAACAACGTGGTCGATACCTTTTGTCATATAAATTTTCTTGGTTCTTTGTTTTGAAATTGATTCTTTGTCGGTGATCTTTCAGGTATTTTGAATCATCCCATTTATCAGAATGCTTAAAATGAGGCGGATGCTCTATTTTTTTCACAAAATTATCATAACGCGGTTTAAATGATCCTTTGTTAATTTTCTCAGTCTGATTGACAGAAAATTTCGGTTTTATTGTTTTCCTCACATCTTCAAAATCTTCAATTTTTTTAACTATTTCAGTAGGTGAAATGATGGTTGTCCATTGATCCATAAAATGTTCTTTGAAATCAGGAGAGGTACGCTTTTTTATTTGATCAACCAGCATGAGATCTTTTAGCTGTTCAAAAGTTTTAATGTTTAATCCGTTAAGCCATCCTTCTAAATAATTCTTTAATTCATAGTAGAAATCATACCAAGTACTTTCAGTAGATTTTTGGTGTTTATTAAATAGTTGTCAAAATTTTTCCGCACTTAATTTAAATCGTTGTAACAGTAAAGTTTTTACATATTCATACTTTTTCACGTCCTCTTTTGGTTCTCTAGCTATAAGCTGAACGATGTCGGGAGGCAGCAATGAAATAAGTTGAGTCACTTGATTTTCAGCAGGTATATTCATTATTTTAGTTTGACGCTCAAATAACACCAGAAATAAACTTATTTCATCTTCTTTAGGGTTGAAACGTGGCATGACATCAGGAATTCTGATTTTTAAAGGCTGCTCAGGTAACTGCGTAGTTTCTACCGGTTGTGCTGTGGCAGCCATTGCTTCCAGTTGAAGTTTCTATAGCTCAAAGGCTCTAATTCGCTTTTCTCTTTCAAGCTCTTCTTTTCTTTCTTCTCTTTCGCATTCTTCTCTTCTTTCTCCTCTTTTGCGTTCTTTTTCTCTTTCTTCTCTTTCGAGTTCTTTTTCTCTTTCTTCTCTTTCGCATTCCTTTTCTCTTTCTTCTCTTTCACATTCTTCTTTTCGTTCCCTTCTCTAATTGCAGCCAAAAGTTCTCGAGTAAACTCCTCATCATAATCGGGATTTTCAGTAATCAGTTTATGCAATTGAGCAATCTTAAATTCAGGTTTCACGGTTAAACCTAACTCTTCTGCTAGTACTTTTAAATCTTGTTTTTTTACTCCTAGCTAAGAATGACATGTTGACACAAGTTACTTTTAATAGGCTTCCTTTTGAAATTCAATCTAAAAGCTCGTACTTGTATAAAAAAAAATATAAAATTTCTGGCGAGATTTAATTTCTCGAATACGAAATTCACACTAACCAATTGGAGAGAATTATTTAAACAACTTTGCCAGGTTGGCTCAAAATAATTTAATACTACGTCGGGTTGACGTTTTAACTCACTATTCACAAGCCTCATTAGCTATAACAAATAAACACCTTTGCCAGTTAAGCAATATAATGGAATTTTACCAACGTCAGTTTGACGATTTTACTATCTATCTCCACGCCTGGTTGGCGATAACAAAAACAATTTTTGCCAGTTTGGCAATACAACTTTTAGAATATATAATCTGTAATACATCGGGATGACATTACTATCTATCACATGCCTGGATGGCGAGAACTAAGAAAACATCTTTGCCAATTCAGCAGTATAATCAAATCACACTACGTCAGTTTGACGTTATTACTTATTTTCACGCGCCTGCTTGGCAACAAATTCAACAACTCAGCTAGCAGTTCTTTTTTTTTTTTTTTTTATAAATGCCGGGATGGCTTACACATATCATTTATCAACATAAAAATTCAATACAAATAAAAGTAAAGCATAAATAATAATTTCAAAATACTTCTTTACCACAAATACCAATTATAAATTTAAGCTGAATATTTTTAGCGTCAGTTATTTTAAACAAAATATTACACGATAAACTTTAATTCTGAAACAAAGTATTAAAATTCAATAAAAGCTTTTTTAAGAAAACCAAAAGTTAATCTTATCTTCAGAGATCGGCAATATCCTATTTTTGACAGTTTTTGCTCGGACTCAAGTTACAGAAGCACAGAAGATAACCTTTGAATGATCCGCTTCAAATCTGGCTTTAAAACAGCAAACTTCTTACATCCATTTCTCCTTGAAATAAACAAACTTGGCAATTGGTATTAACAAACTTGTTCTAAAAAATTCAGTAAATTTCTGGGATTAGGAGACCAGCACCATCGAAATTGATAATTGCACTCCTAATTTCCAGTATCTCGGTGGAACCTCCAATCTATTAAGACTGCAATGTGTTTTGCAGTAATTTACAAAACAGACAATATTCTTAGAAGAACATAAATTTTATTTCTAGTTCTCGGTGATAGACAAATTTTATACAATTCTTAAGTGGCAAAATTTTAATACTACTCCTAGCTGTAAAATCTTCAGAATCTCATCTTTTTTAAAACAATATCTCTCGTTGCTGAGTAACGGTTTGGTACAAATATGGCATTGCCACTTAACAATAATTATATTTATTTATTAAATAACAAGATATTACAGTAGCTTGCAATAAGTGGATCATTGATGCTAGGATTTTAAAAGTTGCATATCTCTCTGAAGATTATTGATTTGGAAATTTTCTGAACTAATTAGTTGACTTGAAAAACATATTTATTTAATTCATTCTTATTTTATTCATTGATGGAAATTCTTCTTAGGTCTGCATTCTGCCTACTATAAATGGAAGGCATCCTGATCTCATGACAGTAACACCAGAAACAGTAAGTAAATCAAAAGTTTTATCTCTGTTTTTTTCATATTTAATATTAAAAAGAAGGATTATCCCAGATCAGGTTTCAAAGCATTTGAAAGTTAGTGTTAAGTTTGTGAGCTGTAGAATGGTACATGCATTTAAAATTAATACTGCAACACACACAAAAGTCAGTTGTTGATTAATTCAACATAGGTTTTGTATCAGTTTTTTCATGTGCAAGAGCATTATTATTTTTTGAGGGAAAACTTATTATATATTAAATTTCAATTTATTAAGCTGCAATTATGAACTGCATAAATTGAAATAATGTGTATATAAATTGTGCGTAAAGAGCATAAGAAGTATTTTGTTTTAGAAATATGCCTTCTGCTTATTACTTTTTTTATACGACTGCGTACAAATAGGTTACTGAGTTGAAACAGCAATTAATTTTTATTGATAAATACCTTTTCAGAGGACTCCAGTCAACATTTTGCATATAAAAATACCTTTTAACAGAATAAAGAGCCTTTTTTAAATAAGTAAATTAAATAAGAAGCTTTTCATATACTATTTTCATTGCATAACTAAAAATTGATGTAATGTAATTTTTATAATATATATATATATGTGAGCATGTGTGTGAAAAATAGATGCATGGATATGTAAGATGGCGTAACAAAGAAGAAAAGCTTTCAGGTGTGACTTTTGATCCGGTATAGTATATTTCCATTAATGTAGCAAACCTTTATGCACTTAAATAGATTCACACATAATTATTTATGAGTGTACTATGCACCCCACAATTAATGCAGCATACATCTTTTTAAACAAAGAACGAAGCAGAGCAGCCATTATTCATGGCTAGCAAAAGGCAAAGGAAGAAAAAAAGTTGTACATTAGTAACAGTGATATAGTAAAAAGTTACTTTAATCTGATTGGATAAGAGCCATGCACATTGCAGTATAATTACATAACAAACATGAAATAGTTTAATTTGGAAAGCTGCAATCTAGAAAAATTTTTTATAAACTATTTAGAACACAAAAGGGTGATTACCAGATTAAAATGAGGAATTAAAAGAACTATTATTAAATTTAAATTAGTAGTTTTCTTTCATATTTTATGTTTTGCATATTCCCTCCTTTCAAAGAGAAAAAGGCTTGGCCATAGAAAAGCCTTTTTATAGGAAAGCATTAGAGCATTAGCAAAATAAGAAAAATAAAATTGGAAAAAAAAATTTAACCCGCGGGAAGGCGCGTGCATACCTGCCAACTTTTACGAATTTTTCGTAATTTTTACGAAAATGCGTTTGTCTTTACGATTTTACGATCGTAATCCATTTTTTACGATTTTTTTCCTTTTTCAAGTGTTTTTAGTGATTTTTGTCGAAATTTTAGAATTTTTCGCCAATTCAGCGATTTTTGCCAATTGCATCGTGTTTTACCGCCAACTACCGACTACTTCGAATCCAGTAACCTGCGGTTTCTCCCAACTCGCCGCTTAACCAGCCAATCCAATGCGCTGAACTTGTTTCTCCCACTCTTTTCTTTGTGGGCGCCAGATTTTTTTTTTTTTTTTTTTTTTTTTCACGTGCTACGAATTTTCTTAATACGTCGTTGTTACGAAATGAGTTCAAAAAAACCGTATTCTCAATATTTTCGGCCTGCCTACAAAGCCGAATTTCCAACAATTAAAGAATCCTTCAAAGGAAATAACTATGCATTTTGCAACGTGTGCGTGTGTGACTTCATAATAAGTCAAGGTGGAAAAAGCGACATTGTGAAACATGTTAAGTCTAAAAAGCATGAAGTTAATGCTTCGGCATCGAACACAACGTGCGGCTAAGCGCTGCCGATCACGCCGGTCAACTTTTCAGACGGATGTTTCCCCGACTCCAAGATTGCTCAGAAATATGCTTGTGCTCGCACGAAAACATCTTCTATTGTGAACGAAATTGCTTGCGATGCACAAAGTAAAACGATAGCTGCACTCCAGAATTCAGCATTTTCGGTGTCAATCGATGGCAGCAACGACAGCGATTGGAAGCTTTACCCCATCGTTGTCACATATTTCTGTGATGTTTCTAATGAAATGAAAACTCATCTTTTGCGTCTTCCATTGTTAAATGGAGACGCTACGGGGGAAAATATTGCCTCCTTGGTAATTAATGAGTTGAAACAACTTAACATCCCAATATCAAACTGCATTTCATTTGGTGCAGATAATGCTCATGTCATGGTGGGTGACAAAAAGGGTGTTAGCCTCTTTCCTCAAAAAAGAACAAAATGAATTAATTGTTATTGGATGCCCATGCCACTTAATTAATTTGGCAGCAGAAAAAGCTGCAGCTGCTTTACCATTAAATATTGACCAGCTTCTGATTGATGTGTTTTTCTATCTGGAAAAAAGTGTAAAAAGGAAAGAAAACCTAAAGAATTTCCAAGAACTGTGCTCTGGTGAAACGAGAAAAATTCTGAAACATGTATGCACGAGATGGTTATCCTTAGGCAGAGCGCTAGGAAGGTTTATTGAACAGTGGGATGCATTGCTAAAATATTTCCACGAAGAGACCAAAACGAAACCACAGATCCCATCAAATTTGTCGGCATATAAGATTCCGAAAACCAACTTTGCTTCTAATCAAAATGCTTTAAAAGGGAAAAGCCAACACACAGAATCAAACCCTTTAAAAAGAAAATGCTTAGAAGACTCCTAAAAGGTCAACTTTGTTAAAGAAGTTGAAGGGAAGAAACAGTCTTCTATTAGCCGAGAGGAAAGGATTTTCTATCTTCTTTCTTCGGATTTGAACAAAGCATATTGTAGTTTTGTGTTAAGTACCATTAAGATTTTTGAAAGTGTAAATACCCTTCTACAATCAGCTTCGCCAAAATCTCCCCTGCTTATCCAAATTCTTAATGATCTTTTGAAAGAACTTTATACTAAGTTTGTAAAACCGTCCGTTGTGAAAAACAGTGTGTTGATTCGTGTTGCCTATAATAGTTTGGCAAATCAAAAGGATGACAATGATCTTATAATTGGAAATCAAACCAGGGAACTTGTAAATTCTTTGAAAGATCATGAGAAAAAAGAATTTTTTCAATGTGTTAGAAAGTACTTTTCCTCAGCCTGTGATTACATTGTAAGGAAGTTTCCTTTGCAAAATGAAGTTCTTTTAAATGCTGAAGTGGCAAATTTGAAACAAATTGAAAATTCATCTTTTGAAAAGATTCGTTTTTTTATTGATAAATTTCCATTTTTGTTAACAATTAAAGAAAATGAATGCCATAATGATGCTTTAGATGAACTACAGAACCAATTTTCTGCTGCACAGTTTGAAGACTTTGCCAGTTCTGGAGAAGATGGACTTGATGTCCTCGTTGGTTGGTACCTTAAAAAGAATAAAAAGAGCTGATGGAACACCAAAATATGATAGACTAGCAAGAGTTTTATGTGCTATTCTCGTAATTCCACACAGTAATGCTGAGTGCGAGAGAGTCTTCAGTGTTGTGAAGAAAAAACAAAACTATGTTTCGTTCTTCAATTTCACCAAAAACTCTAGAAAACATTTTAATTGCTAAATGTTATGAGGAAACTAATTGTTATGACAGGAAATTTTCCAAAGAATTTTTGGCTAAAGCCAAAAAATGCACTCTAAATTCATTGCAATAATTTTTTTGTGTAACATTAAGTTCTTGTTTTATGTTTCCTAATAAATTTTTTAGTTACTACTTAATTGAGATTTACTAATGTAAGTACAATTTTCTTTTTTCTATTTGTATAAATTGTTATTTTTTTAATATCAAAGCATGATATTAATTCTTCGTGTCTTCTCTTCTGAATTTTTATCTTTAGAGGTTGGCAGTATCGGGGTTATAACCAACCTCTAAAGTGGAATACAATTGTGAAATGAATTCTGTCGCTTCAGTAGTGGTTTAGTATGGTGACTTTCAGACCTTTTCTGCGTGTGTTTAGAAAATATCGGTATTTTGTTGGAACTGGGGTATGACACACCCCACGCGCCTGTCCGTGTAAGTGTTTTTCTGACTGAATATTTAGTTCAGAAATTTATTTCTAGAGAGTAACAGTAAATATTTCTACTCGCAAGTGATTTTAAAGTACTTGACATTAAATTCTTAAAAATTTCTAACTGCATTATGGTAAAAAGAATGAGTCCCTATGAACTGGAGATGCAACGCATGCGAGATTTATTAGAAATATTTGAAAGCGATGAAGATTGCATTTCGGAAACTGAAGATGAAACTAAGAATATTTTCTACAATGTTTTAATTTCGAAAAAGATAAAACATTAATTCCTGATGTTCCTAAAAAAGGAAAAACTGTTCTTATGCTTTATATAATGATCATTATAACATTATATAACGTTCATACTATAGATGATACTATTGGAGAAAATAAAACGTTAGGAATTATATGTTTTAATAATATGACTAAAGGAGCAGTGGATATGGGGGATGAAATGTCAGCCAATTATTCAATTGCCAGAATAACGAGAAGGTAGCCAATAGTAATTTTCTTTCCTGCACTGAATGTTGCTGTAATAAATGCTTGAATTATATTATATTCAACTGCTAATCCACCAACAAGAAACAGAAGTCTGTTTTTGAAGGACTTAGCATTACAATTAATGAAAAAAAGTATTGAACAAAAATCAGAGATTAATACTTTTCCAAGAAATTGACGTACTGCATGCAAAACAAAAGCAGAAGTTTCGATGAAGAATTAAAACGAATACATGAAATTAGAAACAACTAAATATGAAAGATGTGTTAAATTTTTTGCCCTCACGCCAAGGACAGAAGAACGTGAATGCAATGTTTAAAATGTGAAAACATTCTGTGCCAAGAACACATGAATGTATTTCGTTCAATGTGTGAAGAAATAAAAAAAGAATGGTGTATTAGAGATGCAGTGAAACTTAGAGGCATGGTGTTTATTATTTTCATTTATCTTAATTTTAACTCTAAGATTATTTCGGAAATAAATTTTTGAAACCCAATTATTAGTCACTTATTTATAATACACGAGAACACACACACACACACACACACAAAAAAAAAAAAAAAAAAAATTAGTTTTAAAACTAAATAATACTATTTTTGTATTTTAAATATTGGGGTATGTGATACCCCACGCGCCCATTCTAGTAACTTTTCTTGGTGCGCCTTCCGCCGGGTTAAATCTAAATTTTTGAATATAACAATTTTGACGAATGAATGCTAATTTTAGAGTTCTGTTCAAATTTTCAGTCCAGTTTTAAAAGTTTGCTAGTTTGTTTTTATTTCTCTGAAAATATTAGAAAGACCATCTTAAATTTGGAGTCCTAATTCTTCAAGAAATAATCATAAAATTTCAGTTCTAGAATATTATAATGTAATTTATACAGTCCTTGTCTTAAAAGACATTTGTGAAAAACTGTTGTAGTCAATATAAACCAAAATATTTCTTTTATATATTCATAAAATTCTATTAAAATTAACTGTTTATTTATTATAAAACAATCCAAATTTTCGTATTGTAAAGCAATGGGCAGTCCTCACAAGGCAAATCGGTGTTACTACTTGTTGATGGCTGTGGGGTGCTTAAATACAGTAGCAAATAAAAAACCTCAGTTCCTTATACAAGGTAACTGTCTTTTAACACTGTATGAATATATTAAAGTTATGCATATGCTTTAACTCTTTGAAATCCAGACCCTTCGCTAACCTGTATCCTCAAAATACCAAACCGCCTGAAATACTTTTCCAGTTTCACAGCAATTTCCTCCCTCCCCGTCCATTAACGCAGAAAATAGGTGTGAAGATTTCAAATGACATCCTTTGTACTTTCTAACAAGGATTCCATTAGCCTTTGACCCGTTCTTTGTAAAACTATTCTGAAGGTCAGACCAACAAGCCTTTCTGGCTTTGTTATGATCAGGACTGAGATTTTATTTCCGTTATTTTTATAGGACGGAATAGATTGTTTAAAAATAAATATAATCCTTAAATTTTTAAACTGCACTTTTATTGCTGTTTAAAGCTTAAAAGCACACTGTACCACAAAAGAATCAACAGCGAAACTTCACGATCAACCAAAAGATAAGAAACCTCTTAGGACAAGCTGTCTGCAATAAACTGATACAATGCATTTGGGGAAACTGCACCAGCTACTGCATACCTTAGAGGGAGGGAAGAAAAGATTACAATCTCGTACGTTTTCGGGCGGTTCTAGTTGTTTCAATGTAGGGCCTTGTGGGGCAGATTGGATGTGAAAGAGTTAAGGCCTTAATCATTCTTCAGTGTTACATAATTGAAATAAAAACATAGATACAAAGAAATATGCATTCAGATTAAGACTAATAATTTGTATACTGAAGTTAGGTCTTACAAATTTAGTGAATAAAAATTTTACACTACCTTACAATATTAATTAAAAAAAACTTTTAGATAAAAAAGAAGTCGGATTGAGAGAATATCAAATTTGAGAGTAATTTGTCACAATATATATTTTAGAATCTCTATAAAGATGTTTGTCCGGGAAAAGCTTTTTAAAAACTTCTAAAAATAATTCAAAATTTTTAACAATAATCAAATTTCTAATTATTGCTGCAGTAATTTTCATTAAACTTCCTTAAATAAAATTATTTAAAAATTCTTTAATTTATGAAATAAAATCATTAAAGTACAAATTTATAATAATTTCAGTCTCATATCTTCATAAAACAGTGCAATTTTTTTTTTAATTCAATATCGTAAGGAAAACGTCATTACATATTCAATTCAAAATTGCAAGAATTAATTAATAAATTACCTACTTTAGAGCAATGAAGAAATTTAAATATATATTATTAGCAAAATAATGAAATTAAGTATGCTCTCAAAATTTATAACTGCAAAACCTCTTAAAGAAAATATTGAATTATTAAGCTTTCATTCCCTGCTGATTTTTTTTTTTTTTTTTTTTTTTCCAAAACAGCACAATCAAAATAACTAATAAACAAAAATACTTGATATGAATTATAATATCCATTGTGAATTTCTCAATTCTGTATCACTGGAGTAATTATAATTTCAGAATACTTATATTGAAAGAAAATAATTATTGACCTATATTATAGACAGCCATCATCTGTTAACCATAAATCAAAACATGAAAATATCAAATGGATCAATATTACTTTGAACAGGCAGCTGAAACATGTTTGTGTAAATGTTGAGATTTGACAACCTTGAAATGGATGCTAATGCTTGATTTTCTAAAACATTAAATCACTGATTATTTAGAGAACACTTTTTTTCCTTCTAAATATTGAGGTGTCCGAAATAAATTAAAAACTGAATTAGCTATAAACTGCAGTTGTGATTTCACATTTCATTTCACTGAAAGTTAGAACTTTTCAACATGCAGATAAACAGGTGAATTTAGTAGATAAACGCATCGAGACTCTAAAAACTTTTCCACTGAGGTTCCCAAGACAGGTGAAAATGATCTTGTCAGACTCTTTTTAACTGTATCATTTTTATGGTGCATAGCTACCTGGGATGCATAATGAAGAAAAACTAGCAGTCGTGGTTGAAGGTAACAAGATACGATTTATTTCTCAACGTACAAGTCTTCTTTGCACATCCTCAATCACACGTCATTTTGGGTGCCAGATGCATCTGACAGTTTCATATATTCTACATATCTGGAAACAGTGAATAAAGCAGAGTCAGATACACATGCAGGCAAAACTAGCAGTCGTGGCTGAAGATAACAAATCACACATCACTTTGAGTGCAAGATGCATCTGACAGTTCATATGTCCTATATATCTTGAAACAGTGGATAAAGCAGAATTCTTGGCACATGCCACCAGCAGCAAGCCGAGCAGGAGAAAAGGGTTGCTCTTTAGTAGCAATGATATTTATAGTAAATAGCTTCTTTAATCTGATTGGATGAGAGCCATCTGCATTGCAGCATGATTATGTGAGAAACACGAAACAGATTAATTTGGAAAGATGCAGTCCAGAAAAGTTATGAACAATTTAGAATAGACAGGTGAGAAAGCCTTTTTAAAATGAGAAATTAAAAGGGCTCGCTAAATTAAAATTAGTATTTTTGTTTTCATCTTTCATACCTTGCATATAATATACAAATACAGATGGAGGACAAAATAATAGGAACACCTGTGAAATAATGGAAAATCTTTATTGATAGGGGTTCAAAGGGTGGTCCACCACCCTTTGACTGAAGTACAATGTGGGATAGATGAATGCGATGTGGGATAGATGTATAAAGGTAATGGACAGTATTTAAAGGAATATTAAGCCATTCCTCCTGCAGAGCGGTCTCTGATTCCGAAAGTCGGGATATAAATCTTTAATAATATTCAAGTCTGGAGATTGAGGGGGACCAAGCGAGATGTTCAATTGCATCATCATACTCTTCGAACCATTCTTGAATATACCTAGCAGTGTGGATAAGGGGTGTTGTCATCTTGAAAAAGCGGTTGCTCTCCAGAGAATACAATCTGGGATGACATGATCCCCTAGAATGCTTAGATAGTGATTGGATGTGATCCTCCCATGCAGAATAACAAGTGGCCCAAGACCGCACCAAGATATCTCACCCCATATCATAATGGCACCACCTGCATGCTTCACAGTCGGCAAGAGGCAGCCAGGATGAAACGCTGCTTTGGGCGTTTTCCAGACATAAACGCGTCCTATCATCTGAAATGGGGGGAATGACGATTCATCTGACCATATTACCTGTTGCCACTGCTGTGGGGGCCAGCCTTTGTGATCTCTGCACCACTGGCGTCACTTGAAAGCATTAGCTGCTGTCACCAAGGGTTTACGCATTGGCACTTTGCCATAAATGTTTGCAGCATGAAGTTCCCTTTTGACAGTTTTTGTTGAAATGGGGTCCTGGAGATGACTGTTCATTTCGGATTTTATCTCGGATAACAATTGTTTGTGCTTTCGGCTACTATGCGCTTCAAGACCTGTCTATCCCTATCAGCTAGCTTAGACTTTTGGCCACTGTTGTGCTTTGAAGACGTCGTCTTACCCTCTTTCGTGTATGCTGTCATAACAGCTGATACTATACTCCTTGCATACCCCACAAGGTTTGCTGTTTCCGCAACCGATGCTCCACTTAAACGTGCTCCAAGTATCATTCCTCTTTGGAACTCTGACAGGTCTGACATTTCAGCTTCTCAACAGACAGTTCGATCAAAGCATGCAACGCAGGTGACTGCTGTTGAGAGACTGATACCTTCCTCTTTAGGCTCACTAGGTAGCAGACTTCTGTTGCAGGTGGCGCGGCTGTACTGCAGGCGTGAAATACGTCATAGGTTTTCACAGGTGTTCGCATTATTTTTTCCTCCATCTGTATATATATATATATTATGTGTAATAATTTATATTATATTCTGCAGCGTTTAATAACTTCAATAAATTAAGGATCTGTTATAAAAGTAGTAAAATTTTTGTTCGTTGTTATCTCGGTTAGCCATGAATTTAAAACAAAACTGTTTGCCTGCTGCCAGCAGGTTTAATAAGTAAGTTAAATGTCACAATGATAAAATATTAGTGTTTAATTATATCTAATTTCTGAGCATATCAGCCATTTTTGACACGAGTGCTCAATTTATCAGTCATTAAACCAATTACTATTATGCTTTATATGTATAAAGAAATTCCTTTTATATTCTTAGATTAGCAACTTACTACAAGAACAGGAATCATTTGCTTACAAAATTATTGACTGTCGATACCCATATGAATTTCTAGGAGGACATATTAAAGTAAGCCTTATTTATTCAAGCAAATTTGTTTTATCTTTGTTTTGTATTGTGTATGTCTGCATTAAATTTTAATTTTTAATATTTTTAAAAGCATGTAATATATTGTACTAAGATCTAAATATACTAACTCAAAAAATACTTCTCATGATCATTTAGTAATATTTTTTCTTTACATGCATAAAACACAGGTATGTTTTTCCCCCAAATATTAAAAACCATAAAACATAGGTATGTTTTTTCCTCCAAATATTAAAAACATCTTAATTCTTGATTTTCCATGTTACATTATATTATATTAAATCACCAGACTGTCATCTACTTGTTTGTTAACTATGCAACAGAGTTAATTTCCAGTTTTTAAAATTTTAAGTGTACTTTGGTTATAGAAAACCACATAACTTAATAACAATATGTAAATATCTTAATAGCATCAACACTCATATCATTCAAGTAATTGTAAAATGTTTTTGTCACGCTATTTACCTGCTCCTGGTTAAGATTTTTAAAATGTAACTTTTTAAGTCAAACACAGATGAATGAATTTCCTGTCACTACTTTTCTAATATTTAACAGCACATTATAAATTAGCAAACAATGGTGTGCATTTATTAATGATAATAATTTTCTAGTTTGTTTTAAAGGCATTGCATTTTAGAATTTTAGAATGCATTGCTTTCCTGGGGAAAAGTTTCTTTATAGTTATTGATTATAGAATCACAAATAGGTTTTTTTTTTCCTTAAGTTCTTTTTGACTAAGAATTACATTTTCCCAAAATCAGTAATATCCAAAGGGAAATTCAATCGAAAATTTAAAGCTGACTGGTTTAAATTGACCCTCTTGGTATTTCTATTAAATGGGTGCAAACGTTAGCTTTTGCATTACATTTCTAAAAATACGCTTATTTAAAAAAGTTTAAATATATTTATTTCTTATTTGTTTTGTATTATGTATGATACTTTAAACACATCTGCTTCCAAAGCTTTTTACTTCCTTGTACGAAGTAAAAAGGAAGTATTGTAATCGCCAAAAGTTTCAGGCAGCATATTTCAACGAAAATATTCAATTCGACCGCTTTCGAATGCAATTTAACGATGTTTTTGCATGATATCTGTACGTAAGGACAGAATAAAAGACTATTTTCCTCTAAAAAAATTATAAAACTGCTTTAAAATGAATTCTGAAGAGAATTTTTCGTGGCGTCTGTACGAACGTACGTACGTACATACACATATCGCATAACTCAAAAACGAGTAGCCTCAGAACATTTAAATTTTGTATATAGGACTACTATAACATGTAGATGTGCACCTCGTATTTTGGTTGTAATCGGCCGCGCCAAACGTATATAAATATATTTATATATATATCCACTCTGTTACCCAGCTCAGTGATCTCAGTTTCTATACTCTTATATGTTTGTAAATTGTACATTTTTTTTGCTTTAAAAATGATTGAATTATGTTGTTCTTATCTTCCGGTTAAGGTTTTTATGCCTTTAGTAAATCTGTATGCAATATTTTTAGAATTATCAACAATTTTAAAGTTGTTTAAGTGCCGCTAAGCCTAATAATTTTTTTGATGGCGGCAATTGCTTGCTTACATTTGAAACAGCAGAGTAGTGGATTTGTTGCCAATCTAGAGAAACATAGCTTCGCAACAACAAGGATAACGCTTTCATTTATTATTGCGAATTAAATCATGCTTAATCCTTTCTGGAATTTTTTCGAGGAAATAAGTGTTTTAAGATTTACTTAATTTTTTATAATTTAATTTTTAATAATTAGTAATTTTTAATACAGATATTTTGAGTTTTTACGTATTTTTGCCTTGTGGCAAAGTGAGAACTCAATTAATTGAGTGAGAAATACTCAATCGTCTGTGAAAAACTGTTTCTTTTTTGTTTTGTTTGCTTAATTTCTTTTATACATCATTCTAGCTTTATTATAGTATTTGAAAGGACACATGTGGCAATGATTAGATAATTCTTTAAATGATATAAATTTTGTGCATTCTGAGTTATAATATTCTAGTACCATTTATTTGGAAATATCTTTGCCTAGTGCACTTTAATGCGATCTACTAGCGAAAACTCTTTAATAGTTAATGACCAGAAAAAAGTAAATCATAAGTCATAAAGTTATAATATGAGCGAAATATAGTACTGTTAAGTGAACCTAGCACCAGAGTGTTGCTATGGTAAACAAATAGAGTGAATTTTAAAGAATGCATTTATTCTATTGTGGTTTATTTGCTGTCGTCAAAGTAGATTTAATTCAATCCAATAAGTTTAAATGAAATGCAATAAAAATGCGTATAATTTAATATTTCGTACAAGAAAGTCATGTGGTGTACACATCAGATTTTTTTTAATTAGTTTAAACTCAAATTTTTAAAAATTATAAATTTTTTCAAATTTTTCATTTATATCTTAAAAATTCAAATATGCATTAATTACTTTCATTCCAAATATATTAATCTTTCATCAGAGTATGACTTATCTCATTGCTGGTGTATTTCAAGTCTTGGATAATGTTAACTGCTTCAGCAGTTATTTGTCTACCATACGCAAAAATGCTACATAGTTAAATATATAAACATTTAATTCAATTGTTAAATAGTAATACATATTTAGGAAATTAAGAAATATCTTTGAACTATTAGGAAAAATTATAAACTTTTTTTAAACTTAGTTAGGTATAAGTAAATTAAATACATATATACATACAAATACCTTAATATGCATTCTATTTTCCTGTAACCCAAGTAAAATTTTACCAGTATATGAATATTTTTTAAAGTTGATTAGTATGCTTTTCGTATGAGTAATGGTAATTAGGAAACATAGAGGGTTTAATGCCCCCCCCAATTAATGTGTAGTCTAGACCAAATATTCAGTACAGAACTAGAACTATGCAGCTGTTGTACAGAAAATTGTAAGCATGTAATAATGAAGCAAATGAGACATTTTGTTATACATTTTGTGCTACAGTCCTTTAAAAAGAGCATTCACTTCCTGCTGTATCCTGCATTAGCTGTACTGTTTTAGTTATCAAATGCTTCTGTATCATATATTGTTTAATAATTTAGAATCAGTGGTATCCATTTGCATGTTTTCTGATACTTGAATTCAGTTTAAAAAAGGAACTCTCTTCATGTTTTTTTTTTATTAAAATTTTTCTTTGATTTAATTTTCCAGTTTTAAAAAATAATAGGCAAAATACTTTTCTTGTATAATGTGTTGTTGAAATACATACATTATGTATGTACCTGTACTGAAATGTGGATTTTTTTATTTTAGAATGCTGTAAATATTTATCATAAAGAGGATGCAGAAACTGAACTTCTGAGTCATTTTTTAAACTCTGGCAAGAAAGAAAAGGGAAGCATTCTCATCTTCTATTGTGAATTTTCTTCAGAACGAGCTCCTAACATGTAAGATAATAGTCGTTTCACATTTTAATGTATTTTGCATATATTGTTCATTAAATTTATGTAAGAATCAGAAATCCAGCTTTGGCGGCTATAAAAAAACAATCATGATTTTAAGTACAGGATTTGTTAAACATCTGCAGTGCAATAGTTTTCCTTGTTAAATATAATTTCATTAATATCATAATTCCAATAAAAGTGTCAGAGTGACGACTCATCTATCTTCCTTTCAAGTTCTCACCAATTTCATTCATCGATCTTAGTTTTTAGACTTTTATTAATTTATATATTTATAGTACAGAATTTAATTTCTGTAATTTGTTAATTTGAACTTTTTTGAAGGATTAAGGCTTATATAAAAGTGCATAAGAAACATTTAGCTATTTAACATTAATTTATATACCAAAAAAAAAGGATGACAAATTAACTTTTTATGGGGGGGGGAGTTCATTAAGTTGTTCTAAATATTTAATTACTTTCCAAAAATAAAGCATTTTTTGGTTACAGTTAATAACCAAGAAAATGTGCAAATGCTGTAAAAAATTTGTTTATAATATAAGGAATTGAAATTGTTTCTGCTGAATATTCTAAATGTGTAATTTTAGAAGTTAAATGCCCATCTAATATGAAAATTTGCAGTTTTTGTTTGAAAATCAAATTTAGATATTATAAATGATCCTAAAATAAATATGGTATAAAATTTGCATTAAAATGCTGTTCTCAATATTTTTGTTTGTGTTATGAGTTTCATAAGCTGCTCAGTATCTTCTGGCTTTCATACAGTGATTGAAATCTGTAAATAAAAGCCGAATAAAATCTAAATAGATGTTTGTTTCCAATAAATATTATAATCAATCCCATTTAAGAAAATTATAATAATAATTCTTTGTTGATAATAATAGAATACATAATAGAATTCATTTAATTTGCTAAAAATTTTTCATTGCTGAAGCACGAGTGCTAAAATTGTCCCTCTTTATTTATTAACTTTCTGATCAAATGGCTAAAACTGCAAAACACTGATAGTTTTCTTGAATTTTATTCCCGTTTGCTGAATGAGCTGCTGCATGAAATTCTCTTAACTTCCATTCTGTGAAACACAAATGCAGTTGAGATATTTTTAGTCACGTTTGAAGGCATTTTATCCCTAATCAGATAACCGTAGCGTCCTTTGCCATAATTAAATAATCCAGTTTTTACTACTTTTGAAAAGATTTTTTGGTACTTTTCCATTTTGCTGCTGCAAACGATAAAGTCACCAATAATGGTACAACTGATGCCAAACGGAATATCTTCGCTGGTAACCTTTAACGCCTCATTTTCAAAACAAGTCACAGCCATTTCTTACCCGATTGATTGTTTCTTTCAATACTGGCATACAATTACATAGAATATTTACAAAGATAATTAAATTTTATGCCCTGAGACCATTCGCGGTAATTAAGTCAATTATGATGCAGTCACATCACTCACCCGAAGGCAAAAGTATAGAAAAGGCAAAATCAAGGGTTAAATTCATCCATTCTAATAAGAATGCATTAGCAAAGTAAAGCACTGCGGTTTTACGTAATTTCTGAGTAAGCTATTCGTATGAATTGAAATAATTCTTGTATTTAAACTCGTATTCCAAATTAAGATTTAACTTGAAATTAATGTAGAGAATTACTGGGAGAATTATATTTTTGTAGCGTAATTTACTTGAAATGAGATCACTTGGGGTCACGTGAAACGAACCACTGAATGAGGATGTTGAACTCTGATAGCATAGTAAATTCTTAAATATAATGTCTTTTTACAAATTTATTGGCTATTTACAAAATTTTAAACCATATTAAAATGTTTATGCCTTCAAAATAAAAAATTCTTAGAACTAACGTTTGCTAACATTTTTTATGTGTATACTGTATGTTGTCGCCAACAAAGTCTGCTTGGCGAGATTTGCAAACGGAAAAGTACCGATTTTTTTCTCTTTCTTTGATTTAATTATAATTTCTGGTGAAATTAATAACAAATTGTATCTTCTTCAGAAAAAGCATTTCATCAATTACAATGTATGTCCAGAAAGTAAGTTCCGTTTGGTAATAAAAGTAAATTGTGTACAGCTACAGAAAAGTTATTTATTGCACAAAATTCAACAACTACTTTTCCACATAACTGCCGAAATATTGCAGGCATTTGTCATAGCGTGGCACAAGTTTTTGTATACCTTTTTCATAGAAATTTGCCGCCTGTGTCTTCAACCAGTTGGAAACAGTTTCTTTCAGCTCGTCGTCGTTGTTGAAGTGTTGACCGCCAAGTAAAGACTTAAGATGTAAGAACAGATGAAAGTCGCTAGGAGCGAGGTCAGGGCTGTACGGAGGATGGTCAAACACGTCCCAGCCAAGAAAAACAACACATTTTGACACCAATCCTCGGCGCTTATTCTGTATTGTGCGGCGCAATTTCCGAAGTGTCTCGCAATAAGCATCTGCTCTGATTGTTTGACCACGCGGTAAGAAATCAATGAGTAAGATGCCTTTCCAGTCCCAGAACACCACGTGCTCTCGAGACTCCACGCTACAACTCGCGATGCACTCGACAACACACAGAGCACAGCTCCCGACTTTTCTGTTCAGTCGTTCCTGGAGCTTAACGCACTCTCTTCACGATGCACTGACCGCGATACACTAAGATACTCTCCGATGCGCTTGACGACCCACTCGGCACTCGCTGCCCGGCTGTCAATTTGATTTACTCTGCACGGACTGACTAACTCGAGACTATCTCACACTGACTCTCCGCATACCAGCAGGCTTTATATAGTTTTTGGCTTGTGTTCGAGAACATTCTGTGCTATTCATTTCAGAAGGTTCTCCATCCGTCCATGATATATTGCCAATTTTCTCTTGCCAAATGTGGCAACCCTGCCATCCCTTGCCATTTTATGGCAACCTTAAACCTGCTTTGCGGGGAAGCTATCTTACCATGCCTGGACATTTCGTAACAATATTGATCTACTTGAATATTATTTTAAGATGTATTGGGCTCCCTACTCCCCAAAAAGGAAACCTTATACTTCTATGAGTTAACAATCTGAAGACCATTGCTTTAAACATAGTTCTCATTTGTAAAAGATGAAATGCCAGATTTACATTCATAAGCCCTTTGTTGGGAATGGCATCACTAAGCCAACGAATCAAAAGCCAGATAGAGACTGACGTCATGGGACGCCAGAGGAAAACGAACAGTTCCGGTTTAGTTAGCTAAGAACGATGTTTGCATGATGTGGCTAGATAGATATTGTAGCTAGATAAATATTTCATATTTTTTTTAACTTGTCTTTATGTGTAAATAAATCTTTTTGCTTAAGTTTCAATGAAGTACTCCATTTATGACAAGATAGCTGTTAATTCATCGGGTAGATGACTTACGAATCCCTTCTGAGCTAGCCATTGTTCGAACGTAACGCCTTACGTAACATAACATTGTGGCGCCAAGACGTGGGGCGCGATCGATAGCAGCTAAAATAAATTGAAAATGGAGCTTACACAGCTGAAAACCGAAAGAAAATGTCTAAGAACTTCCTTTACCACATGTGCAAACAAATTGATGCAGAACTGAAATCAGATATTCCTGATTTGAAGCTACTTTCGATTCTGGAACAACAGCTTAGAGACAAGTTTAATCGACTTGAAATTTGCCAAAAGGAAGTAACGTCGCTAATTCTACAATCTAAAGAAGCTGAAAAGCTATATGAAGAAGATTTTATTTCTTCTGAGCCTTATAGAGATAAATATTTTGAACTGTGTTCTCAAATCGAAAAGCTGTCGAAGAATCCTTTACCTACTGAATTACCAGAGAAGCGCAAATTTAAACTGCCGAAGATCGAACTAAAGAAATTCAACGGCGAAGCAAAAGAATTTTTGACGTTTTGGAGCCAGTTTTCGAAGATCCATGAAGATCCGACGATTCCAGATGAAGATAAATTCCAGTACCTCCTGCAAGCAGTTGTTCCTCAGTCCAAAGCCGCACGGGTAGTGGAGAGCTTTCCGGCAACGGCCTCGAATTATCCGAAAGCAATCGCTCAGCTTCGAGAGAGGTTTGGAAGAGAAGACTTACTTGTGCAGATATACGTCAGAGATCTTCTAAGCATGGTTATGCGTAATGCAAGCAGTGGACGTGTGAAGACGGATCTTCCCACTCTCTACGATGATTTAGAAACCAAGATTAGAGCTTTAGAAAGTCTTGGAAGAACGCAAGAGAAGTATGGTGATTTCTTAACGCCTTTAGTTGAATCCTGCCTGCCCGAAGAAGTATTAATTGCTTGGGAGAGAAACAGAAATTTAAAAGAAGCACCTCAGCCTGATGACCGATGCCTTGAAAATTTGATGAATTTTCTGAAACAAGAAGTGAAAGGAGAAGAGATGGTCGTGTTAGCCCGCACTGGGTTTGGTTCTAATCATATTTCTAAGAAAAAGGATACACTAAATAAAAATTTAGATTTCGCCACCGCAGCTGCGTTAGTAAGTACATCAAATTCTGAGAGCCCAGGTAAGCGCAATTTTAACTGTCTCTTTTGTGAAAAAACGGCACCCAACTAAAGAATGTTTTTCTGCTAGAAATATGACATTAGAAGCTAAGAAAAATATTAATTAAAAAAGGGGCCTGTTTTTTGGATGTTTCAGATTTGGGACACACTTTTAAAACATGTCGAGTAAAAAATTCTTGCATGTACTGTAATAAAAATCACCATTCTTTAATGTGTCCCAATCGCCAAGAAAAAGGCGCAAATGAAAAGTCTAAAAGGGACGTAACTGAAACCAGTACATTAACTAATAACTGTAAAATAGAAAATGTTTATTTAATGACTCTAATAGTTAAAATTAAATTTAAGAATGTTGAGCTTAAAGTACGCACATTACTGGATACAGGTTCTCAGCATTCGTTTGTCAGTAAAAAATTAGTAGAGAATTTAAATTTAAAACCATTAAGGCAAATTAAATTGAAGCATTCGTTATTCGGTG